CGAAAAGTCACAGACTTCTTTGAATGAGTGAATGAGTCTGTTGAGGAGTTTAAGAAGAGTAGACAAAATTTAAACTTATCTTAAAAAGTTAAACTTGTTACAGTTCCAGTTGCAGAAGAAGCTAAACACCATTTTAATGCTGCTAAAGTACTCTGCTATATTCCTTGTGTAACGTAACGTCATGGACTTTTTCAACTGATTTCAAGAACAGTCTGTACAACATAAAATTTGTATTAGTCCGAGAGTGATACAGTTAATGATTTGTAATTTACAGTACAATTAAAACGTGTTTGTATCAATAAAACACGTGTCCGTGACTTTTTTCCGAGGACACCCCGTTAATACGGACATTTTGGCATGTCCCCTTGGTGTCTGTATTAACGGGGTTCCACTGTACCTCTTTAATATAAACCAGTCAGTTTAAATAAGAATGTGTCAATATTGCAAAGTGTTGCAATAAACAGGAAGAATTTTGTAGCTTGTCAGGATAAACTATTGATCAATGATGGTTTCATTCCCAGAGCTTGTACATTTACAGTAAGTGGTGATGAAACACCCTACACCCTAGGCAAAATATAAAAATGGAACCAGAAAAGACTGGTTCCGGTTGGATTTATCTACATGTATGTGCATGCAAGTGTGATAATGCTCTGTTTTGATTTGATCACTCAGATCTCAATTTCTACTTGTGTCATGCTTTATAGTTAAACATCTGCTCTGCCATGTTTCCTGGTTCATTGTCAAGTACAAAAATCTTTATACATGTAAGGAAGGTTTTCCATTTATAGTGAACTAATGTACATGTACATGCAGCAATAAATCAAGATCTTAAGAATTGATTCTTTGACTTATCGTACAGGTGTTAGCAATAAAAACAAGGGAATTAAGCTCTGTACAATCTGACTGCTCTGCAAAGTCGTCTCACTTGGAAAACAAACATGCACAAGAACTCACAGCTGAGAGGGAGAAAGCGCAGCAGGTGTGATAATGAATACAGGTTTATTCTGTCCAGGGGTAACTTTACTGCATGTGACAAGCTTATGAAATCTTTGGAAGTGTTTGGCTTATCTTTGGAAGTATTCTAAAGGAAATCTAGTTGTACTTGGTTATCTCCAGAAAGCTTTGGGTGAGCTTTGACAACCTTTGAGATACCTCGGATGACTGTTGGCAGTCTTAAAGTTTCTTGGTACTGACTTTGAAAATCTCCATAATGAGACAGTAATTTGCACTGGTACTACACTTGAACTGCACTGTTCTTAGCCAATCAGAATCAAGTCATGTTTTCAAGTGTATTATTATTTTATGAACAGAGATACATCTGTCTGTCAAAAATTTTAAAGAATACAGGATGTACCTGTAATATGTATGATCTACAGGTCAGATCAATACATTGCATGAAGCATTAATGGTAGTTATTTGCAAATTATATAGATGTGGCTGAAATAAAAATAGCTACAAAGCACAAACAGGAATATACATGTATGTGTTAACTGGTAATGCAAGAAATTTGTGCTTGGTTACATGTGGTTAAGAGGAAATTGATTTTGTTCTTTGTACACTGGTCGTTAAATTTAGATGGTCACTACCAACCAACAGACATATGAGAAAGAAAAGAGAGAGATGAAACAAAATCACCAGTCACAGGTAATATTGAAGTGACTATAGAATCCTGATAGCAGCAAAGGTCATTTAATAAGCATTTGAAAGGTTTTGGTTGGTCGTTACTTACAGATAGTCAAAGCCAGTTATCAACTGCTGAGTAACACCTTGCCTCACTGTATTCAGCTTTTGTTTATCACAAATGCATAAACTAAACTGAGACCATTCTCTATTTTAAGCTTTACAGTGTAGCTCTGTAACATGTTCCCTCTGGCTCGCAATGTACATAAAAGGTACATGTAGGCTTCCCTTTTCTGTGGGATTTTTGAGGTTGCCATTTTCAAGTGGTATCTACATCATTCTCATCCCCAGAGGCCACACTCCTTTTGGTCAGCACCAAGAATCGTGACCTCTGGGCCAGTCTAATACCGGAAGTCTGGGATTCATGGACTTTCCGTCAAATCTGACAAATCTGATTGGCTGAGAATATGAAATGAATACTCTTCGCATGCTCAGAAAATCGGGTCAGGCCAGAGGTCGCGATTCTTGGTGCTGACCAAAAGGAGCGTAGCCTCTGAGGACAAGAATGTATCTACATGTATTTTAGAAGGGGACATTGCTTTGAGAAATTTTTTCAAACTGGTCGCTGAACTCACACCTACAGTTCTTTTTGATGAGCCTTTTCTAATTTACCTTTTGCCTTAATCTTGTATAAGCACCTCACACCTCCACTCCTTCGTTAAAACATGAGGGCCACACACATTTTCAGAAAAGTGTCCTTTATGTGCTTTTAGGTCACGAGACTAGAGGCTAGACTTAAAGATGTGGAAAATTCCAATAGGGTAAGAATGACATTATTTTATTACAGTACTAGTTATTGTGACATGTATATTGGGGCAGTTTTCAAATGGGTTTTGTAAAACCAAAACCAAAGTTATCCCTCTGGGCAATCCCAAGGGGAAAAGACAATCCAGTGAACCAAACTAAACACCTAGGCTAGCTTAAAGAATGAGGCTAAACTCCAGAATACCCGGCCACTTTTATCATCTCATTGAATAAGAATAGCAACTATTGTTATATACCTTGTTCTTCAAAGCCCACCGGCACATGTAAATAAAGTGGCCGGGTATTCTGAAGTTGCTCCAAGAATGATATAGCCAGCTGGGAGCATGGGAAAACAGGTGTGGACATGTTTTGATTGGTTTTGGAAACCAAACTAAGGATGAATGGCTTTTAACAGTCAGGTTAAAACTTTTCTAATGGTGACTGGTTGAACATACTTTGTGTTTCATACTGTGATCAATTGGCATTCATGAAGCAAGTTTTTGAGTGGCAAAATGACACTGACCTGTAGTTTATTAGCATAAAATTATGACAATTACAGGTATACATACGTACTTGTATGTCCGCAGTACATTTTGGCAATTCTGATATATACTTTTAATTTGTAGGACCTGAATCAGAAGAAATATCAAGCAGATTCTTGTATTAGAGACCTAAAATCAAAACTGGCAGCCCTTGATGAGGTACAGTGTAGTGTAGGGATAACATTTATGTGGTGTTGGTATGTGTCTGTATAGCCTGCCAAAAGGCTTATGTTTGGGGAACACATGGGCAAGCAGCAAAGCCACTAGAAAATTGCTTCTGCTCAAGACCTCTCCTGCTGGGTAACTTTGCTCACTGACTTGCTCTTTATCATTCATGCATGGGACTCAAGGTAAGCCTGCTTGCAGGGCTAGAGGCTGTGCTTGACTGTATCAATAATTTGCCTTACATTTTATCATGTGTTACACAATAGAAAGCGACACCAGATATTTTTTTATGAACTTTATTTTGTGATTATTTATTTGACTCATTATTTCTGGACAGATAGTCTCTGACTCATTTTCTAAATTCCACATGAACTCTGACAACTTCAAAATGTCAGTGATGCTTGGGTTGTCTATGGTGTGCACTTGCACATAAGCATATTAGCAACTGGCATATGCAGACACAGTAAGGTATATTCAAGTATTGCTTCCTGCTGGAAAATGTTTCTAACTTAAGGTGCTAATGATCAAGCTCTTATTTTGTTGGAATATGGTTATGTGCTATGCATAATCAAGATAAAACACTGATCTTTTCATTTCTTGTTACCATAATCTGTTGTCAGGAATGCAAATTTGCCAAGCAAGAACTGCACAAACTTCGTCGTGAGAATGGATCACTGGACTCTGAGAGGCATGAACACAGTAAAACAGTCAGTCAACTGCAGACCAAGGTGGCTGTATTGGAACAGGAACTCAGGGACAAGGAACAGGTAGCTGATCAAAATATCAATAGTCATCTTACTGATTGCCATTACATTTTTTTAAATATCACTTCTAAGTATTTTCAGTGATGTACACATCTACATCAGCACTTGGTAGTAGTCACACCCAGTTATAGGAACCTGGAATTTTCCTGGTTAAGCCAGCCAAAAAGGTTCTTATATATGTTTATGGTGTCTACTGAGATTGCAGAGAATCTAGGGCATTTTAGGTTCTTAAATACATGCAGGCTCTTATTCTTATTAAGTGCGAAAGGTGGAATGGGTGTGGTCCTTTCTTATTTATGAGAATCACATATTTTAACCAATCAACACCTGGAGCTTTTGGCAAAAATGCAGTTTTTGGACATTTTGTACATTTTTAGCCTGGATATGAGCCAAAGTGGTTCCAATCTACTTAAAAAGGCATTTGCAACATGACAGCATGCCTTTCTTTCCACTAGCTTTGCTGTTTGGAACATTTTTGCAATGACATGCACAGAAATCAAAATTTCGAGATCATTGGAAAGATGTTATCCTCCTGAAGAACTTAAGTGTAAGTGATGCCAATTTTGGTCAAAGGTGATGACGTCAGAAGCGGAACAATGGGTTAATTTATCCCAGGTTCCTTAATTGCTCAATACCCTCAATGTGTTTTCTAAATAAAAACTAATTTGAAAAAATTTCCAGTCTGAGCAGTTTCTTATCTAATGTGCATTTTCAGAAAATATCCATACCCACCCCAAGGAAGGTTATTGGAAATTCTGAAGGGGAGGGGGTTTTCAAAAACCAAAATTTTTAAAAGGGATTGTGAAGCCAAACTGGACTTTCTGGAGGAGTGAGAGGGTTCTAACCAAAAAACCTTCTGTGGGTGAGGTATGGATATTTTCTGGAACAACACAATGGTGGTTTACAGCAGTTTTCAATTGAGTGTGGAAAGTAATGTGGTTTTGGTTTTACTATGGTTTGAGATTGGCTGAGTAGTCTAATTGGTAAGTAATTGGTTTGGTTTTCGTTTTACGACACTAATTTGAAAACTGCTCTAAAAGCCAAACAAATTAGACCCTGCAGGTTTTTAATCACTAGGGTCTTATAGATGTAGGAGGATGTTAACTGTATTATTTCCCAAATTGACGATTTAGTTCAGTCATTACCTCTGTTGGACAATTTCAGGTGAAAAAATGATTGAAGCCTGGCCTGCTGCAAACTTTCAGTAAACAATGGTTATAAGATAAATCTAACAACTTTTCAAAGTATAATTATTTGCATAATTATGTGTTCCACTGCTACATAAAAAGTCCTAACAGTCTATTAGACCGTTTTCGTATTCTCGGTATTGGACTGGAACTAGCTTGGAACTGAGGCTAATGCAGGGAATCTTTTCAAATGCAAATGACGTCAATCTCTTTTTAATGATATTCCCCCGCATGAGCCTCCATTGCAAGCTAGTGCCAGTCCAATACCGAGAATACGAAAATGGTCTTAATTCCATTCTTGTTTACATAGACATTGATCGAATCTGAAGAAAAACGGTAAACTATGTTTTTATATTTTAATTTATGTGTACTAGGTAATAGCACGAACCAATGAACTGTTAGAGAATTCCAATGAGCAACGGAGAAAACAAGAAAAAGCTTTGGAGGAAAAACAGGAGCAAATCAAGAAGGTTGAAGCCAACATTAAATCAGTAACAGGCGATGTGATCAAGGTAATAAGAAAAAGCGTGTGCGTTCCTTTACGAAGTAGCAGTGATTAGGACTTATTAACCAAAACGTTTATGTCAAAGTTTGCGAACGATAAGCACTTTCCAGAACACACTGTGATATTTTCTGTGGGATGTTTCCTGTTAAGACATGCTTCAGTGCAATTTCTATTTTTTTGAAAACTTTGCCAACAATGTTCCCAATTTGTCTTTGTGTTATGCATGGAATATTTAATTTTCATTGTGAAGTTTACAGTTCATAACTAAAGAAATACTAGGCACGAAGTGTCACATGAAGTATCACCAACATTCAACAGTTTATTTTCTATCACTGATATCGGTAGGCAACATCCTTCTATTGTCATAATGGTTTGTGTCATTTTATTTTATTTTTTTTTTAGGGAAATGAAATTATCCAGAGATTACAGTCGGAATTACGTACCTACAAGTCGAAGGTACATTTTCATTTAAACGAAGTTCTTTTTGTTAGTTAGTGAAGATTGAGTAAAATTGTCTGCTTGTGTAAATTTGGGCATGAAAATGAAACTGTAACTTGCATTTCATATATAGAGAAAAAACAAACAACAACAAAACACTTGTACTGCTACTTTTTGTATTCTAGATGAAACTGAAAAGTGTGGTTATGACCAAACAAGAAAAGCTTCTTGAAGAGAAGGTACTACAGGCCAGATAATGAATGTCATATGAAGGCTTTGGTAGGGAGATGAATAGATGCGTCAAGGAAGAGTTGAGCTTGCAGTAAAATAGTATATTGTTGTTGAGTTCATTGAATCATTGAGCAATTGCGATACAATACAAAACTAAGTTGTGTTACTTACAGTAGTTTGAGTATTAAGCAGCTCACATCTATAATAAGAGTTTGCTGGACAGTCTATTGTTGTATCGGTCAGTGTAAAACGCAGACTGCAGACTGTAGACTGCACACCGGGGGTAAAATGCAGACTGTGGACTACAGACCTTTTAGGTACATATCGTTTTATTTCCATTATGGAGTGCTGACTGTAAACAGGATTATTCAAGATAGTTTGTAGTCGCAGTGAAAGTCTGCACTCCGGCTGGCCTGAAATCACTCAGGCTAGCCTAACTAATGCTCCGGTTAGCCTGTTTACGGTGAGCGTTCAATGATGGAAATGGTAACACGATTCAGTTACAAAGTCTGCACTCTCCATTTTACCCCCGGTCTGCAGTCTGCGTTTTTCACTGACCGATTGTTGTATGGGAAATATTTTTGAACTAGAGTTTCCAGAGTTCTTCGAAGCTGTATTGTATTTTGTGGTGTGCGATTGACTTTTATCTGTCTTGCTCTGGCTTCCTCGACAATGTTGAACTAGTTTCTTTCTCTTCAAACCAAGAAAAGCGTGTTATTTGTTTGTAAACTATCTTGTTTGAAATCAGGAAGCAGCTCTTGAAAGATATCGACAAGAAAACGCCAGCTTGGAGACCACGGTGAAGACTAAAGAGGAGGAGGTAATGTTTACTAAGTCGTTGAGTTGCTCGTCAACAATGACTCAGTGAGGCCGCATTCTTCCGCTGGGATTGGGGAGCTTAAGCAATGACAACGGCTGGAAAAAATGGATATATATTTTACCTTTGAATTTCGCAATTATCTAGAACTGTTCAGTGTGCCGAACGGTCCTAAACCCTACTCAAACTGAAGATGTAACGCTAGGGATCAATTTCAGAAGACAATGTGAAAAATTAGCCTTCTTGGTTCAAGTTCTGGAGAAAGCGCAAAACTTGGTCATTTACATACACTCTTTATTGCAACTCCCTACAAGGGTTTTTCAGTTGCAATACTAGATAACTACCATACTAAAATAACTAAATAAATAACCAAATAACTAAAGCAATAAATATGGTTGTTTTGAAGAGGACGTTAACGGAATGTACAAGGATTTATAACGCACGTGCACAGCCATTGTTTTGCTCATTAAATCTTTTGTTTACTCTCTAATGTTGACTTGTTCGTATTAGTGGCGCCTGTTTTCTCAACTAAACGTGAACATGGTGTTGTTAGGCCCGGTTCATACGTCGCATTTCTGCCGTGTCGAATTCAATTCAATTAAGTGCGGCAGAAATGCGACTGTCGATTCATACGTCGCACTTGTGTCGAATTTAATTTAGAATTAATACTGTCAGGTATTTCGGCCGGCGGAAAATGTTTTAAACGCAGAGTATTCAATATGGCGGACGGAGATATTGTGGGACGAAGGACTTTAATTTTGCGAAAAATTGTCCGCCAATACAATGAGAAGGAGAAGGCTGACAATGCAGCAGTTTGTTTTGCAATATTATTCAGGTTGCATTGGGTCGAGAATAGCCAAGTTTCTTCTTTCTCTTTGACGGGACCAAATTTACGCATGCTCAATACATTAACATAACGTGTGAATTAGATTCGACACGGCAGAAATTCGACGTTTGAATCGGTGTCGCATTTCCGTCGATAATGCGACAAGACCAGCCGAACGTGCGGCAGAAATGCGGCAGCCGATTCAGACATCGAATTTCTGTCGAATTTAATTATAATTCGTTGAATTAAATTCGACACGGCAGAAATGCGACGTATGAACCAGGCCTTAGTGTGTGAAATTAATGGCGTCATGGTGCAAATCCTTGCGCAAATGAAATGTTTGCCAGCAACTCAAAAGACAATACACACTGAATAGTCTTCAAACTTGATCAGAACGCAACTTTACAGGTTGTCTGTGTCAGATACAATTTTACGCATAATTTTTGACACACAAGTTCTTGAAGTGTTGGCAAAGAATTATGTAATTATCATTGAATGTGAATCACGCTATGTCCTATATCAAACGCGAGAGGCAGAGTTTCATCAAAACTTGTAAAGCCGAGACTGAGGAGTGTTACAAGTTTTGAAGAAACTCTACTCTGCACTTGACTTCCGCTCAGGCTGTTGACACGGACAAAACTTCATTTCAGAACTATCCTCAACCGGACGATCACACTAGAAGAAACAAATTGATTATTGTTATCTGAACACTGATTTAGGTGAAGAAGCTGAGCGAGTCACTTGAGACGAGTACAGCAAAGCTAGAAGAAAGTAAACAGTTGTTGAAGACCAACGAAAATGGTGAGAATGTCCCAACGTTATGCTGAGAGCGGCGAAATAATTGTGTTACTATGTAACAAATTAAGGACGTTCGCACGAAAATGTTCTACTCGATAGATTTTCTTCAAACTTCTACTGCGGACAGATAATGAATTACTTGTTTCAGAAATGAAAAAAAAATTGGGGGTCACGGACTTCGTTGCAGAGATAAAGGGTGTAGAAAACTAGTCTGTTTTCGAAAACTTGGCGCGCGTAAATCACTGTTTTTAGCTTAAAATATCAAAGATGAATCAACGGAGACAAACTATCCTAGTAATATTTTGTATAAGGGAATCCGTTGCGTTAATAAGTCCAAATATTGCCAACGTTTTCACAAAACTTAACCCTTCAAGAGGCATTTGAAACCGCCGCGCAGATGAACGAAGAGCTAAAAAGAACGGAATTCGATGGTGCATTTTGCAAAAACTTCAATTCGATAGATTTTCTTCATTTTTTCGCTAAACGTAGAAAATCGGTAGAGAAAATGATCCATCAAAAGAAAAATAGGGGTCACCGAATGTTCAAGATCGTTAAATCCAGGCAAAGCTATGGTCATCCGCCCTATCATTGTTCATTTTATTACTTAGCGCGCGCTTGATGCATGATATGGCGTGTGTATTTGCGTGGACAGTAAGGATGCGCAGAAACAATTAGCGCAAAAGTCCTTAATTGACCATTTCCTAGATATCATGAATTCGTTCTTTTAATTAGATTCAATAGAAGCTGAGAAAGGTCAAGCACTTTTGTCCCAAGCTGGAAACATTCCTTTTGATGTTCTAAGATTTGTTGGTACATCACGACAATATCCGTCATTCAATGATTGTCTCTCTTCTTATCAGATGTCTGCTTGATATATAATGTATTTGATTACCTGATTGGTCCCGAAGCTTGTATAGCAATATTGTGGAGTTACCAGCTTACTTTAAAACACTCTTGCGTTTGATATTGCAGTTATCAACTGGTTAAACAAGCAGATAAATGATCAAATGATGTCACAGCAGCGTCTTGGACCGTTTGAAATGCACACAAAGACTGTGTCACCGCGAGGTCCACCCTTGGTTCCATACAACAAGGTGCACTCAGTTCGGTTTATTTCGTAAAGTTTACTGCATCGAATTATAATAATTTGTGTGACTGTTGTTTTTGTATTCAGGTAACGAGCACAACAGTTGGTTCCAGTTCAGCGGGAAACAGGACAGATATTCCACGTTATACTGAACCAGCCCAGGTAAACGTTAAATTGACCGCAATTATTTTAAAGCCAGGGGGACATTTCAAGTAGGGTTTGGTGTTTGAAAATCAGAACTTACTTGAATCCAGCCTATGAACTAGTGAAACTTCAGATTTAACCTTCAGATTGTTATTCATACTAGTATCTTTGGGTGATAAAACGCAGTTATTCTTACAGTACTTGACGAAATCAAACATAGCTGTCAACTACGTTTACAAATGTGAAAGCTGAACACAGTGCGAATGGCAAAAGTTAGATTTGGCTATTTTACACCAGCCTTTTAAAAGTTTGAAATCCAGATCCTGTGAACTACAGTAAGATATGCCTAAAAGGAGAGAAATTTGTATGAAAAGTTGACATTTTATCGTCAATAAGAGTACAGACCCAGCTTGACGCCAGCGCGCGCGGAGCTTGAAGATTCTGCTGCGAAACTTTTCACAGCGTTTTTAGTGTTGCCAGTTTTCGATACAAGCGACAAAATACCTCTGAAAGAGAGTTCTGTAAACAGAAAATCATCAAAATAGTTTACGCGGTCTTTAAATTCAGATTGGATTCAACCGTGAGGCGAGGAACACGTATCAGTCAAAGTTGGACGTCGATGGATAGAATCTTAGGGTGCGTTTCTTTAAGAAAATCCAAGATTGGATTCTTAAATCCGAACGAATCCGAAAACGGATTTTGCGTTTCTTTACTAACTAGATATGACCAGATCAATCCAAGATATCTCGGATCATGGTGCGTCAAAGGACCGATGGATCCACTCTCAGAGTGAATTCTTCGGAAAAATCCGTTTTCGAATTCTTTCGGATTTAAGAATCCAATCTTGAATTCTCTTAAAGAAACGCACTCTTAGTCTCTTGCCATGTAACTGAGCTGTTATTTGCCATTACAGATGCCGTACAGGAAGCCAGGGCCTCGTCAAGCAATGCTTCCTCATCCAGTAGGCCAATCAACTCCTAATGTACCATCAGGTGTACTTCCAACAGGAGGTGTCACGCCACTCAGCCGCCCACTCACGGGCATGACACACACCACTGAACCCATACTTGACGCAAAGTACTTCCATCCCACTGGAAATGGAGCCACCTCTCAGAAGCCTGGATCCGAGCCTCCTCTCATGTCAGCGTACTTTCCCAAACCACGTGGTGCATTGCCTACCACGTGAACGCCACGTGGGTTGAGATAGTACCCTAATAAGAGATACGCGTAGTTGCACTCACTTAGGAACTCGAAGTTTTCAATTGACAGTGTTGAGTGTTTGCTGTTGTCAGAACGAATCGAAGTAGGCATTTTAGAAGATCATCTCTATCCTATGGAATTTTCATATTTAGCTTATTACCCAATCAGTAATGTAATAAAAAGTACAGGAAGGTTTATAGATTAGCCATTAGAAATATACTCTTCTGATACACCAGCCTTTCTATGTAAATAACTGTAATAAAAGTTCATTGAAATATTTCGCTTTTTAAGTATTGTGCCGTGATGAGGAAAGTTACACCTGCAGATGTTATCCGTAACGAAGAAATGTTGGTGTCGTTTATGCAAAAATGGGGCCAATATTCTTCAATACGGACGGAACAAGCTGGTCCAAATTAGCATTCATCTGGTGATAAATTAGTTTGGTTACTTTCGTGAAAGTTTTCCTGAATTGTCAGTCATAAAAAAAAGAGGAAAAAAGAAAATCTATGTTCTTGTGTACAACGCTTTGAAATGCCAATTCGCCGAAACTAATTCGTCAGCGGTCCATCTGTCCGTATTGCAAAATTTGGACCGCTAAGGGAACCAATCAGAATTCTCTTTATCATTTTAGCCCAGTTTACCATGTGATTACACACTTCTGTGTTCGACATTGAAAGGACCATTTCACATAGGGAAAAGTCGTCTTTACTATACGAAGTGAAGATCGACGAGAACAGCCAAGATGGGGAAACCTCACAATCTTTCTCTCAGGGTGGGAAAGTCACATTTTGCTACGGAAACCTAAATAATAACTAAAGGACAAAAAGAAACATGGCTTTATACAGTGAAACCTGTATTAAGCGCACCCCATATTAGCGGACACCCTCTATTAGGTGGACACCCCCGGAGGAAAGTTCTCCCAGAAAAGTTGGGTGGAGGTGTGCGGCCCACTTCCCAAAACCCTCACCCTATTTATGACCAAAATCTGGGATTTTTGCTACCCTATTTATGACCTGGCCAAAAATTCGATACCCTATTTATGACCGTTGCGGCTGGCACAGTTGCCCTAAACATAAGTTATCAAGGGCCTTTGTTGACGGTCTTATTGATAATGATGAAAAAGTAGCTTCTTCCAAGAAACATACCCAATTCAAGACTAGAGTGGTAAAACCATACCCTATTTAGACCAAAATGGCCAAAATCGATACCCTATTTATGACCAAAACGGCTGAAAAACCCTACCCTTTGGGGCCGCACATACCTATATAGCCCAAATCAGGGAGTACCCCCCTCCGGGGGTGGACACCAGCTTGAGTCCCAAAATTTTCTTCCTACATTTACTGTTAAATAAACCTGCATTCAGGGGACACCTAGCTCAGACTCCTTTAAGATTGTTCAGCAATGTCGTTTTAAAGCTAAGTAGATTATTCCGCAGTGATGTATTGACAGACCGGACATTGAGCTAGAAGCAGTCTTTGATCTTACACTGTGTTACACTGTGCTACAAAAGTGTTAATAATTAACTATTATTGTACAATAAACTAGAACCTGTTGAGAGCGGACACCCCGTATTAAGTGGACACTAGTGAGGGTACCAAGGGTGTCCGCTTAATACAGGTTTGACTGTAGTTTATTTGCCACCTGACATAATTCATATTGTTTCATACTTCCCGCCACGTTGGTGCCAGCAACAACGTTTAGACCCACTGTAACAATAGGCCAACGTTCGATATATCAGTATAGCTGGTTTTCACATGACGTCACTAAAATTCGAACTACAAAACTATTGATCTTCCTGAGATTTCACTTAAATGATGTATAAGAGCGGCTGAAANATATATCAATATTCTAACATGGCTCCGAGGCTTTCGGTCAAAATTGTAAATTTTTAAAGTTTCTTTTGTCTTTCAATTCCCAAAAAAGACTTGTATACAAAGAAACACCACCAAAAATAGAAGTTTGTCCTGAAAGCCTCGGAGCCATGTTAGAATATTGATACATCGAACGTAGCCTATCAGGGAAAAATTAAAAAATAAAAATGGTTGCCTGGGGCTACTGCACAGTTTGTGATCAGTGAATCAAATCGCTGAGGACGCCTGGGACCAAGACTATGTAAACCGCAGTTTTCAAAGAGTAGTTGCTAAGCAATATGACTTGTCGTGATGACGTGCTCGCATGCGCTCGTGTACTCGTGCTATTATTTGATTGGACGAAGTTAATTGGTTTCGTTCTTTTGAATTGTCCTATAGTGTTTTTTTGTTAAGGAAGCTATTTTTGAAATTTTGTACAAACCGAACCTCCTTGGAGATGCATTGTACTCTGATAAGCTATGACTAATTTCGCACGAGCTGCAGAATTAGAGTCGGTAAAACAACCATATGATAAATGGAAACACTAATTTCCGAAGCTAAGACAAAATGCTACGGAAACTACAATAATTAAATGTAAACCTTTACTTATCACGTAAACACAGAGAAAGATTACTCGGAGGCAGTTCCCTTCATGCTGAACTTACTGTGAGTAGCGTGTTTCTTAAATGCCCAGAAAAAAAATTGCAAAAGTGCGAATATTCATGCTGAGAAAACAATTCTCTACTGGTTTACCTCTAACACTGAATCGCCAGAAATATATTCCTAAGCTACGATATACACTTTGTAAAAGCAGAAAAAAAAATTGAACCACTTACATCGTCGCTTCTTCGGAAAAATGTCGCTACAGTCACGGCTTTGGTGAACAGGAGAGAAATAAAACTGACTTTACCGTTCTACGATGAGTGATATTAATGATCACCATATAACACAAGAAGTGACAACCTTTATTGTTCAGCTGTGTCTGATAACAGAACGTATTGTCCACATGGGCATGATAACGTATCGTAATCGCGTGTATACACCTGTTTTTAGCACGTGGGAGAAATTAAGTCGCCGCAACAAAAAAGTCTTTGATTCAAAACAAAGCGAAGCCCATATATTTTGGATAAGGAAAAGATAAAAAAGAGTAATTCAAATCATGGTTTACCCCAAAGTACGTCCGAGAAACTGTTATAGAGATAGGCTTTTACAGTTTTGTTCACATCAATTCAAAGACAAAAAGCTGAATACACATAAAGCGATCTATCTGTTGAAGTTTGCGTGGGTTTTCCTATCGATATATTTTTTTTATTGAATGGCGTCAGAGGCTTGTAAAGTAAGGCCATTACTTTTGGCGCGTTTAGTTCTTAACGATATTTTTCACTTCGTCAAATACATAAATCATTGTCACCAAATGTGTTTCTAAAATGCTTTATTTTAATAGTCAGTTTAACAATTGCAATTTGTTAGTGCACGCGAAGGTTAATTTTATCAGTGGCTCCGCCATAAGGCAGCTAAAGAGATGTGGTCTTTTAAACCGCTAACATATTGTAAGTGACTTTCTATGTGATCATGACAAGTTCACTTGCCAAAAACAAACTTGAAAAAAAAATTAATAATGCTTACCTCTGGTGTTTGGCTATACTAAAATTGTCCTATCTCTACAAATCGGGCATTTACATTTGCAATGCTGCCTCGTATTATCCGCTATTAATAACTTAAAAAGGCTTTCAGCGTTGTTTTATTTTACCCTCTGCGTGCACGCTGTGTTATAAAATCCTTTAAAAGCGACTCGTTTAGATGAAAAAAGGCAATCATACCCTCCCTAAGTTTGTAGTGGTATTGTAATATCATGCACTGACAAATAAATCTATTTTTAATTGTTTTCGTGATGGACATAAATCAACGGAAATATTTTAAAAAACATTGGGCTAAAAATATCAGCCCATCACTGCAAGGTGTAAATATTAGATGTTTTTTTAATTAGTTAAGCGTCATAACTTTAATTTACCAAAAGTGCATTCAATAACTTGGTCACATTTAACTTAATTAGTTTCAGAATAACATGTTGGCGATATATCTAGCAAATAAATACGAAAGAAGCATTAATTTTTTTCCTAACTTCAACTGACTTAGTAAGACTTAGAAAAATATTCTGTTTTCAGACATGGCCTGAATTCAAGGCCATCTAAAACATATTCACACATTGCTTAGTCCCTCGAGCGTTCTATACGCTGCTTTAGATGATAAACCTTTTTCAGCTGTCATAATTAGTAAACGCTGTCATAATTATGATAATTATCATAATTACCAACCCCGCTTACATTAAACTGGCGTTCTTTATCGAGTACAGTTTTTTCACCTCTTATAGCACCTGCAATTTTAACAACTGAGCGATTTTTTGAGTAAGGAACTTAGAAACGAGTAACGTATAAATAAGTAACATCTAAACCTGAAGCCGAGGCTGGTCTGGCCAGCCAATATTGTATAAATATACGACTGTGACAGCCTTGCAGTAGTCTTTGACTTCTCATCGTTTTATATAAAGAAAATCGATTTTTTCAGGAGAGTATGTATTACCGAAACGCCGTTAGAGTAGCTAAAAAAGAAGCTCCGAAAATAATTCAAATTCAAAGTTTTTTGACTTGTTTGCTAATGCAGGCATGAAACTGGAAGCTAAAAGATCAAGCTGCCTCTTAGTGTAATGTTTTTTTCCGTTTTGGCAAATTACTCTTTAGCACCGTAATAGGCACTTTTTAATTATCTAAACAAAGCCGATTTTCTGGCTTGACTGGCGGCAAGTTAGTCTTCGCAAAGATGTCCATTATTTTCTTCAATTCCTCAGTTGCTTGTCCAGCGCAGCAAGTAAAATAGAGTATCTGGATGCAGACCACTGGCGTATCGCGCGTATTTCATGAATCAACTTGTGTTTTCAGTAGAAATAGATAGATTACATTTTCGGCAAAAAAAGTCTTCGCTCGATAGTTTTGAAATAAGTAGACGTGACATTAATGTTCTTAGAAAGCAACTTTCCACTAATGCAAGGAGACGTAAATTACTCACATTACTTATGCTTCTTTACGAAATTCAGTTTCCTTCCGGATAAAAAAAAAACGCGCCTTCGATCTACTAATTAGGGCTGTTTCCTACAGATTAATATCTACAAAGAAGATTAACGTTGATGGAAGACTATAAAATGGACTTTTCCGGCAATGCAGAGAACTTAAACAAAAATACACGCGCTTAAATAGCACAAAAGAAAGATCTAGACGATCAAAGAAGAGACTAGTACTGATGTAAATGATTGGAACAGAGGAAAACTATCAGACAAGCGTACAATCCAGAATAACAATATCCGAGGTGAACCAACTGTACGCTAAACAGGAACCTCTTAAGGAAGGCCTAACCCGAGCACACAACAGTTCCACTGATTGATTAGGCGGACATCAGTCCTACGAAATAACTCACATTCAAGAGCTTGACTGGTCGTTATGTGGCACGTTAATCTGTAGCGCGTGACAAAAGCCGATCACGTGGCATAGACGACCTTACCACGTGATGCAAGATAAAGTTGCCGCGTCTGAACTACAGCTTGTAATTGTTTTGAAGAAGGCAAAGAGAAATTCTTTGGG